GCTGATGTATTTTGCGCCCGTGGATGCCACAGCTGACCAGTTTGCCGTGAAGGTGCTGGAGGAGTCCTTGCCACCAGTATTATCTGAGGGTGAGACATTTTTGTCTGGATGGGACAACTACGTTTTTTACCCTCGTAATTTCCCATTATTTGTTCATGGCATTGAATTTCACTCGGAAAAATATTATTATACTTTTGTTGGCGACTATTTTCCACCCACGAAAAAAAACCAAGTGTTATCAAGTGGTGATTTGTTTTATCTATCAGGAGAGAAATCATGCAGTGTGTTCAGAGCGGGAGAACCCTGGCAAGGCGTAGAGGAAGTGAATGGCGTCACGTTGGACATTAACATTGGGGTGCGTCTGGTCCGTTATGGAGCTGTGAGACTGGTCGGTGAAGCAAACGAGATTCGACTCCACTACAATGTTGGCAACACCAGAGTGTATCGCGAAGCTGGCACCAAGTTCGTTGTGATAGCTGATGAAGAGGTTGACGTTGTGGAAGCTTTGATCTCGCAGTATCCGCAATACTCTTTGATCAAGGATTTGCCTGATATTGGTGGAAAATCCGGAAAAACGGTTAGTTTGAATTTATCCCGCGTTCCTCAGTGTTTGAATCTTGTTTTTCTTCTGTTTCCAGTTGGCATTTGTGACCAAACTCTTCGAAATTGGTCTGCTGCTGACAGATGCTCCCGTCTTGGCTATGCGGGATGTGGAGTAAGCTGTACCATTGCCCTCTGCTTGAATTCATTGAATTGTTCAAACTTGAGGTTCAATGAAGGATTCATTATTTCACACATTCATTGTTTATTCATTTTTTACTTCACACTCCAAATATGTAGGACATCAGAATTCCATTCCAGTATTCACTCCTACAATATATATTTATTACAAGTCACTTCTACTATCTACCGAATTGAGATAATACATTATCATCCCATCCTACTGGCATTGTTTCAATAATTTATACATTAGAAATTTTTATTCCCCTTCTTCGACACTTTAACAGGCGCGACTATAATTGTAATATTCAAATTAGATTTAAATTAAATTTTTAGAAGTTTTTCCACCCACCCAAAAAAAAACCCCCCATTCACGGACAGCATCATTGCCAGAGGGACACAATTCGTTCGATCATGAAGGGTCTCTCGCCATGCTGCCGCCAATGAATGGGGGATTCTTTTTGGG